CCAAACTCGATCGTAGGCTTTCGCTGCGTCCAAAGTAGCCACCAATGCTACATCCTAATCTCACTGCATCCGCTTATCTTAGAGTTTGGTACAATATGAAGATCACCACGGATTGGTATCAGTCAGTAAAATCTACAAGAGTAATATCCACTAACATTTCTGTATGAAGAACATGGTATGAAGAATCTTGCTTCCACGCTCTTATTCTGTAATGCTAGTCGTCAGCACCACAATCACACCTTGTGCGCACCAATCAGCCACTCCTCTCATTTTCCCACGAGCTTAGAGTAGCGAAATATTTTTTTACAGCATTATACAAGCCATAATAGCAATTGTTTAATCAGTATTCAGAAGAAGCACAAAAAATATGAACAACGCGCCAAAAAATAATATAAAATGCTTATATTTAAGCATTTAGAAGAGTGTATTGTGAGCATGTTCTCACTAACAGGGCGAGACTGTTACCTCGGCCGTTAGTTGAGAACATGTGATGGGAATATCCACGGCACGGCAGTCCTGAGCGCCAAATTGCTCATGCGCGTAGAAATTCCCCCGCCCCTTTCCACTCAGGGTTCAGTTTCACCCTCTTCGGGTGAGTTGCCTATAGCGACGAAAGTTTTGATCTGTATTGCGAAATTATTGATGCAGCACAGTCCTTTACTAACGTTGAAAGAATACCCGTCTAATAACTTCTTTTATTATATCGTAAGAACTCTTCTTCAACATAGGAAGAACAATATATCTTATATGTTACTGCTACAACATTTTTCAATACGTTTTAATAATAAAGCATATCAAATTACGTTAAAAATATCGATTTTTTTATACTAAAAATAAATATCGACGTAATATTTACACGACCGTAATGAATTTTAATGTTGAAAAGTTTTACGCTGAATTTTGTCATATCTGTAGCGTTCATTTAATCAGTCGAATGTAAACATTGTTGTTATGTTAATAAATAAGATGTTTATGGATTTTTATAAATAATACCATCATATTATCTTCTTCATCATATTATATTATGTTCCCGTACCCCTTTACAATTTGATAATTATAAACTGGTTGATATTGTATAAATTGTTTTATTTAACGGTGGTAGGGCCACGCAGCAGTCTCGGCTGTTGCACAAATGGACAGGCCCTTCCGGTTAAGTACCACGACCTCACAGAAGACCAGCGTAAAGTGGAAGTATGAAAAATAATTTCGCGTTACGTCGGGTAAGTGGGGTAGCTGGAGCTCAATTTTTAAAAGATTGTCAACGCATCTGTAAATCGGGTGTAGCAGATGTCCATGGGCTGCGGTATTCACTTACCATCAGGTGAACCGTCTGCTCGTTTGTCAACTTTTGACATAAAAAAAATCCTTAATAGAAATATTTACTTATATTTATATCATACCAATACTTATATTATACCAATACACCAGTCTTTTCTTTACTCAGGGAAGAATTATCTCCAAAAAAATTAAAACAACATTTTGAATGTCGAATATTTAAAAAAAATATATATATATATATTTATATATTTCAAATATTTTCAATTTTTGTTTCAGAAGTATACATCTTATTATTATTATATACTTTATTGTACACCACAAAGAATTTGATACAATTAGTATGAAATAAGTCTTAAAAGCTAGGTACAATAAGGCGGTCTTATCGCTAAAAAGCGATCTCTTCCAGACAACCTTAGGACGAGGAAAAATAAACTAATGAATAGTGGGAGGTGGTGTGCTCAATAAACTTACTTAATACCAAAATAGACTTAAATATAATAAGATAAACAAAATTATAATAAACATACATAAACATAAATAAATATATAATATATATAAATAAATACACGAGAGAAGAATTAAATCTGAATATTGCCATTAAAAACTATGGATTACAAAGCGATAGGTAATGTTGTTTTACGTCAATTTTAAACTTGTCTAGCGTCTTCGAACGATGAATTTGCTGAGGAAGTTCATTCCACAAGCAGATGGCCTTAACTGTAAAGGAGTTCTTATAATATTTAGTTTTGTACGCATGTGGTGCTAAAATTAGATCTTCAGCTGATCGCAGAACTCGTTCTGGATGGTTATGGCCAAGAAACTTAAAGTGTTCCTTTAAATAGCTAGGACTCCACTAGGGTTAAATAATACACAGTACAGAAGAGAGACAGTGTGTAGATTCCGGCGAAAACGAATGGGTAACCACTTGAGCATTGAACGAAATTCGGAAACGTGATCATATTTGCGTAAACCAAATATGAACCTAATGGCTAAATTTTGAATACGCTCAAGTTTATTTAGTTGTTCTTCGGTTAAATCAAGATAGCTTGCATCCGCATAATCGAGAATGGACAGGAGTAAGGATTGTGCTAGCATAATTTTAGTTGGAATGGGAAGAAAAGAACGTAAACGACGGAGAGAACCCATCGCAGCAAATGTTTTTCGGCTCACTTGATTCAATTGTTCCGACCACGAGAGGGAATTGTCAAATTGGACACCAAGATTTTTCACAGTGGTGCAGTACGGTATTATAACGTCATTTAATTTTACCAAAGGAAGGTTATTCCAGTCAACTCTTGAAATCAAACCAACACCACCAACAATAATAGCCTGGGACTTAGTAGGGTTAACATTGAGACCATAGATTTTACTCCATTCACTGATAGCGGCCAGGTCATCATTAATGGTGGAAACAGCAGTAGGCAAGTCTTCAAGATCTTTACTGATCCAATATAATTTTCTTACTAAAAAGAATTTTAAAATCCTTAAATAAGCGGGCAACGCCTTTTCTGTTTTACTTACGTCCTAAAACAAAGCCTTAAAAATTACCTTAAAAAATTTACCTTATTTATTATTTGATCAATAAAGAGGGAACGGCATTTATTGCGCACAATCTTTAACAAGGCGCTTCGTTACTAATCATGTCGCTTAATATTGCGTATCCATTTATAATTCACAATTCAAATTTATGTATTTCATGAATTTGATTCTTTATATTATATAAATATGTTATTATTTTAAACTTGAACCTTAGTCAATAAGCTTCATTGTTTGTTAGCACATTTGGCGCCCATGTGTAACTGTTCTCTAGTCTCTTCAAGTCTCTACATTATAACTTTTTAATAATGTATTCATTTAGCATTTCCTTTAGATTTATACAGGAAAATAATAAATTTAGCATAGTATATAAAATTGTTTAGTTAAACACATTTGCAAGGCTGTAAAATAGCTTTATTCTTAACTAGCTATACCAGGCCATTTTAACAGTGGCTGTCTGATAGCATATTTGTGTTTTATATATTCATTTCACGATAAATATTATCGCTTCATGATTACATTATTAATAACAAAAAAAAAAAAACAGTTTTTACCTACGTATAAAAAACTCGCGGGCAAACGTATTGTCAATATTTAAAAAAAATTGTTATGGAACTTTCGGAGATTTGCGTAAGGAACAAAATATGATCTGATACGAGTTATGATATAATTAATGTTGATATGCTTCTAATGACAAGTAGAAACCAAATTCGCTAATAGATGGCGGTTTTATTAGTTGCGTGATTTTTGAAATAGAACTCTCAACTTCAGCAAGTAATCTGAATAGCATCGCGTTTAATTTTAGCAACAACTTACGCGTGCTCCCGTTGGTAACGCACGTAACGGTGCCATCTTTTATCTAGTAAATATTTGTTAAAGGTACGTAAAAGTCATAACCACTTGCTTTTTAGATTCCAACAGTAATTTTAAATTGATATACTTTTTTAAGATTTGACAGATTGATAATCAGGAATAAGTAGAAGTATTAAATAACAGTTCTATATACGTACATTTAAATACTGAATACAACGAAATTATTTGCTTATTTACTTACCGTTTTTATAAAATTAGTTGAACAAACAATAAGTATACATAAAATAAGAAATAGATATGTATAAATTATAAGTTATTGGTTTGAAAACCAATTATTATCCTAAATTTCCTTAGAGAAACGAACACATGTGTACCACCGTTTAACCACGTTCAAAAAGTGTTGAAGCCTCGTTTGTATGAGCGAAATATCTTGATGTAATAAGTTGAAAAATTTGATGATTTTCAGATTTGACGCAATAGCCAATCGTTCAGGAATCCTTAGGAGTGTGATTTATAAGTTAATTTAAAGGTTTTCTTTTGTGCAAAGTTTTCTTATTTATCGTATCGTAGCATTCGTACGACGTAACACAAAGTTGTAACTGTAAAAATACTTCTGATCAATTTTCACAGAAGACGTAGTTTTAAGGAAGGATTACCATACGCTGAAAATTAACGACTTGTATGAAATTATGCACTGAAAATGACAGCGTAATCTTTTACATTAATTATGCTTAACTAACACCCATGGTTTATTTAATTTTTAGGTGGGTACTATTAGTAATGATTAAAGCAAAAAGAGTTAAATTTTTGCATTGTTTTAAGAAGTGAGAATTTAATAAATTTACTTAGCATATTATTACTTACTTAACATCTTATCATGCCATTGTACTCACATGTCTTTTTTATTCGTTGTATTTATTTATTTCCTATAGTACCCATAATTTAAGATTTCTAAATGTGAAGACTTATAAATGGCTTCTTTAGTGCTTAAAATAACTGAATTATCTTTGTTATTAGCTGTAAGTTTTCCGAATAAATTTAAATAAAATAAAATATTATAATAAAACTTTAAATGGCTTAGATTCTGACCATGCAACTGTGACTTTAATGAATTCTTTTAGGTCCTGTATAGATGTATAGCCACAGTCTTAGTCAAAATACTTTAACTATTACCTACCGTCTGACATTTAGACCACTGAAATCGTTCCGTTAACTAAATTTAGCACAGACACTATCCAAGAACTAAAGAACCGTATCGGTTTGCTGTGTATCTGAACTTTCCTGGAGTAGGCAAAAACACACAAATAAAATATAGTTTATTCCCTTTACATTTAAAATCATTTATATTTGTAGATCTCTGGTAATTTAGGGAAATGTCTCAAATTTACGAAGAAGTCGACCCAGTGTACGCAAAGAAGTGCAGTAGCGTAACGCTTTGTTCCAACACCGTCGGTTTTTTTAAAAACCTCAGTGAAGAAATTGTTGCACTTGCGGAAGAAGACGATTGGCTAAAATCCTTTGAAAAGGTTGAAGACGCAGAAAAGGTTAGCACCGTGATGAAAAATAAAACGGTAAGTATTTAAAAACATTGAAAATTAAAGTATAAATTATTATTTACGTATTTCAAAACTTCATCAATACATCGATTTTCTTTCCTAGAAAAATTAATCGATGTGAATAAAATTTACTTTTTAAATGTCAATGTTCAAATGGTAATTAATTAAAACAAAAAGCTATAAACATGCTGTTTACATGCTTAGAAGGCATACGTTTTACATTTTCTCGGTGATAAGGGGCCGAAAAATTTACAGTACTTGAGCGGCAATCTAGAAAGAACAGCCTTTTCTCAGTAATACGGGTGCATCGGAGCATCAACGGGGTCAAGATTTTGCAGCGCTCTTTAATAGGGTACTCCCTGTTCTCGCAAGAGAGCTGCTTTTTATATCTGTCATAGTTCAAGACGTTTCAATGTTATACAATTGCTAACGCAGTTGAATCTTATGTTTAAAGTTCTTACGTTTCTGTTTTTTTTAATATTGTCTAAGCCCGGAACAATCATTTATCGGTCATACAAAGACTTGTCCAGGATGGGAATCTAAACAACGACCCAAGATCATATATTTCTATCACTTAGAAATTGCGCCAATCGAGTCACATGACTTCTAGTTTGCCATCAATCAATAGACTGAGTGGAACACAGCATGTTCAATTAATTATGGTTTTAAGTTTTTAAGTCAAATGAAAAAAAAAAAAAAAAAACAATAATATGTTTATCTCACACGTTTAACTCAACTTTATCTTACCATGGGGGAATATGTGCTTTTAACATGCTAGGTAAATACATAAGGTTCGAACTATAAGACGCGAGCTTTATGTTTGTATGAATTTCGAATATTTTCAATTTATAGATTATGGAGTGTCTTATGGAAGTATTCTCTCGGATTCAACCTCTGCATCGTGGGAAGGACGCGAAAGTTTCGCAGGAGAAAAGAAAGGCTGTTGAGGATTCTATTAAACAAGGAGATCTTGAAAAATGTTTAGCTTTGGCAAGCCAGGCAGTTCTAAGATCACCAATGACAGGTAGTAATTACATGTAATTATTTACCTTACTTATTTATTTAATAAAGTTATAGGGGACGTCGATTTTCGATCTGAGTTCAAGGGTTGGAAATATGTTGTAGCTCTAACCAATGAGTATTTATGTTTTAAATTTTTAATGAAAGAAAATACTTTTGGGCATAATTTACGGCAACGCACTAACCACTTGGTACGTTTCGATGCATGATTTATAAGAAAGTACCTGGAGGACCGAGCTTTGCTCGATTGTTTTTGTTAATCATATATTTTGGAAATAAAAAAATAAATAATAAAGAAAATGATCTGGTGTAGAAAAAAAGTAAAAAGAATAAGTGTGTAAATGATCGTGATTTGAACCGCGGCCGTCTGTTTTGGGGCCACCCGATTACCGACCGAGCTATTATAACATTTTTTTTTGCGGCGAAATTTACTGTCATATTCTAATGATATTTTTCATTCCCTGAAAACAGCGATAAAAGGACATTTTCTAAAAATGAAACCTAGCTAGATAGATTTTTCGCCCCCGAATCTACGCACATACTAAATTTCATGAAAATCACTGGAGTCGTTTCCGAGATTCCGATTTTATATATATACAAGAATTGCTCGTTTAAAGGATAAGAGATAAGATAAGATAAGATAAGATTATACATATAATATCCAGAAATTATGTGTAAATAAAAAATGCAAACTTTATTAAATTTTGTTTTTTCGAATATTTGAATAAGATAAGCTAAGAAAGACACGCTTTGTGATCGATGTGTACTGAAAAAATAAACTGAATAATATATTTTCCGAAAGGTATTTCGGTCACCGAGATTGTTTTGTGCATCATCCCGTCGAACTATCGAATAAAATAATTTGCTTGAAGAACATTATACAGGTATGGTTTATAATTATCTTATCGAGTTTTATTAAAATACGAAAAAAAAAAATTTGTATTAGGTGCTGAAGAAGTGATAGATGGAGGCGTATCCTTAGCGCTTGCGTTGTGGACTCGTTCAGAAGTGCTTTTGCGTTTAAACAGACATCGTGCTGCTCTCGAAGATTTGAAATTGGCTTTGAAAGAACGTCTACCGGCTCGGATGCGCGCTCAGTACTACTGGCGAATGGGTCACTGTTATAAAGGTAACTAAAATTATGAAGGTAACACAATATTTTTACCGAGTATAAATGGGAAATACAGTGTTGTGAAAGTGGTATTTAAGTTAAGCAGTTAATTAGTTAATTTCTTTTTTCTTTAGGAGCAGGGGAGCCAACAAGGGCCAAAGTTTCTTATGAGTTAGCCGGCAGATTGTTAGGAAATAACGAGAAGGTGAAAGGGCAGTTACAAAAAGACATTGATTCGCTCGACTTATCCATAAAACCCAATTGCTCTCATACAAAATCAGGTAATTGTATATTTTCAGTGTATACATTAGTTATCGACTGTAGTTTATTTCAACGTCAATTATTAATGGTAAACAATTGGTAGGAATAACGCTGACGGGCGGCGCTAAGCAATCTATGCCGTCTTTATCAAAGTTACTTAAAATAACTGAAGATGAAATAAAGGTACGTATGATCGACAGGAGGTTTTGTTTTAGTATTGTTTTAAAACTATAAAAGTACGATACGGTTTTATGTTATTTGTTTAAGGGTCGATTTGCTGTGGCCAACGAACCAGTTAAAACAGGAAATGTGCTACTTATCGACAGTCCCTATGCAGCATGTCTTTTACCAGATTTTTATGGTACAAATTGCTTACATTGTTTTAAAAGGTATATTGGAAATATATCTGATTTCATTGTTAACTTTTTGTTACATTCATAGTATTACACAGAAATACTGAAAAAAAAAAAAAAAAAAAAAAAAGGTCAATAAGCAAGCATATAAATAATAAATCGAAAATTTGTAGAATCCATTAAATCGGAGTATTACATATGCTGGCAATTTATTTCTTTACTCATAAGTTTTCTATTTTTTTTATATCCATATAAAAGTTTAAAGTTTTTTTATAGTGCTAATCTCTGCACTTAAGATTAAACATCAAAACTTGTAGAAAAAGTATGAAAAGATTGTCGCCGCTGTGGGAATCGAACGTCTTTGGCATTCGCGGCCTGACGCTTTAGCCACTAAGCTAAACGGCTGATTGCTACACTGACGAAAATATTAACGTATTTTATCTACATTGTTTTTTAGCATTTGAAGCAATGCTTGGCGCATCAATAACAATATTATTATCCTTTCCAGCATACAGACAATTTGGAATATCGTTTTACAACGATAACTCGTCGGCCGCGAATGACGAAGACGTGGGTTCTATTCCCACAGCGGCGACGATCTTTTTGCGCTTTTTCTACGAGTTTTGATCCATATTAAAGGTTTTGTCTCTCTTTTCCATAATAGATTAGATGATTGTGAAGAATGCGCTCCTGTCTGGTGTCCACAATGTTCAGAAGTGGCTTTCTGTAGTTTAAAATGCAGGGACATAGCAATTACAACATACCATAGTTATGAATGTCCGTTTCTGGGCTTATTTTTTGGTGAGTTTCATTATTTTGGTACAATTTATATTTCCTTTAGGTGTTTGTTAAATGAGCTGGGGTGTAAATTTTTTATTTCTATTCTTTGATATTATTCGTTGAAGCTAGTCTCGCCACTGCTGAACATGATTTGAACTGAGCGAATGAGGGAAGATTAACCTTCTTAATTATAATCTGGTCTGCCACACAAATTTTATAAGAAGCAATGTTACAAAAAACATTTTTTCCTATTAAAGGGTCAGGAATGTCGATTCTCAGTCATATCGCGCTCAGAATGGTCACACAAGCTGGTCTGGAAGCCAGCCTCACTATTTATTCCAAACACTTATTTAATAAAATGGAGACTGTTGAAAGCGTTACGCTACACGACATAGAAGGAACGCAAAGAAAGTTAAAAATGAAAAGTCGAAGAGAAAGACTTAATAGATCCAAAAAAATCCTATACCCAATAGATGATAACACTTCTAAAGAAAAGGAAATCTCAACTACGTCGGATGAGAAGCAAAATTCTCACGAACAGTTAGTATTCAGGGCAGCTCAAGTTTACTCACTCTGCACCCATTCGAGACAAAGAAAAGGGGACGACTATTTAAAGAGAATTGTCATGGCAATGTTCCTCACAGAGTGCTTGAAAAGAAGTGATTTTTTCAAGAATTGTGAAAAAGATAAAATTTTGAAAGGTAAATAAAAAGAATATTTTCCCATTTTTACGTTTTATTAAATTTCGATTCGAATTCAGATTTCGGACATGCATCCTCTGTGATGATGTGGCAGTGGTACGAAAACTGGAAAGCTCAAGGAGAATATAAATAACATGATATTAATTCCACCATAGATAATTCCAAAATACAGGGAGATTTTGTGATAAGTGCCCAAATTTATACAGGAAGTTCAGATTCGGTAGTATAATCGTTTATTGAAATAAAATATAAAGTTTTTTTTTAAAAAAAATGCCATTCTATTCCCTAAAAAACAGCACGTGTTGACAATGTGGTAGTCATTCATAAATATCTGAATTTTACTGTGCACTAACTTATGTGCGTGTTAGTTATGAATGATCGCGCGTAAAATTAATGAGTTGCGTATAAATCACGCACTTTTTGACATAAGTTCAAATGAATGTAGTCAATTACTTACGAGTGATTTTAAATATTTATCATTTTTTATATAACATTATTTATGTCTAGAATTTAATAAAAAAATGAATACACTTAAAAAGCCAACCTGTATATAATGTAGCAAAAGTGCCTTTCTGTCACCTTTACCTTTTGAAAATATTTTTAACCTTTCAGCGGAAGTGTCCATCTGCGAGCTTATAGTCTGCAACCTGCAGCTTCTTCAGTTCAATGCTCATGAGATCTATGAAACAATCCGTGGTCAACATATGTTTACTGGTTCTAAACCTGTGTACACCGCAGTTGGGATTTATCCCACTGGTGCTCTATTCAATCACGAGTGCAATCCCGCCGTTGCCAGGTTACCCATTAAATTATAAGTCTTCCTTCAATCCTTGTTGGGGCACAACGCTAAGTGGATTACAGGCCCGACTTTGAATCAAATCTAATCTCAACGTGTTTAATAACGAACCATACGGCAAACCAGTAACAGACAGAGCATTAACTATTTGCCGATATTTGTTGTTGAAAATATTCTCTTAAAACTAATCTCGCCCGCAGTGTTGCAACTTTCAGTGTAACAACCAGATACGCCAACTTCAATTTAAAAACTTCTTTAGAAAATTAATATTGTTTAATCAGCGCTAGTATATTTTAAACAAATACGATGAAGTTTAAAAATATTCACGGATTTTGTTTTCGTCGAATAATTTTATTACTTCCGAGACTATGCATATCATAAAAAGAAAGAAAGAAAAATATTTATTTGGTACATAACAGAAAAAACACATAAAAGACATAAACACAGTATTTTTGTTACAAAGAGAAAAAATAACGCTTCGAAACAGTTTGATTTCATGCAATGCACATTTAATCTCGTAAAACTTATCAGAGAATTAACACACCAAAGGTTTCATTTATATTAATCCTTTTAAACTCAGATTCTATGACCTATCCATCAAAGAAGAGTAACTACAATTTCAGAATCAATAAAAGCATATAATAATATACGGGCCGAAGTTCTTCAATTTCAATCTTTTTTTATTTATTAATTAATTGAGGCTGATCAGGACTGTATTTAGAAATGATTTTAATTTTTTATATGTATGTATATAACCTTGCATGTGTATTTAGTATATACAGCGTGTCGTTACAACCACGACAGTAAATGAACACAAATGTAGAGGATAACATTTTAAAATTGTATTAAAAATTTACATTCTTTAAACATCAATATTTACCGAGTTATTAACTTTTCCAAAACTAACGTTTTTAGAATAACCTTACGTATCAAACGGTAACGTAAACTTCATTTGTAAAGGTCACAAAGCATATGATTGGGTTGAATGAATTTGAAAGAGATACATCATACTGTTAGAAGAAGATATTTGTAGTGCGACGCTGCGGCAACGAATAAAAAAGTGTCTGTATGTATCAATCAGTCGGTTGTAGTTGTATAGGATGTTAAAAATTTTGCTTCTTTTTTATTTTATTAGTTTGAAAAATATTTTTTTAATTATGGTTTTTTTTAACGTTTTACATTTTTTTATGATTATTGGCAAGGAGCGTTAGACGTGTGTCAATTTATTGTCGCCGTTGTATCGAGACGCTATATATATTCACGAGCAAAATTCGAATTCGATGAATATTTATTTATAATTTAGTTTACAATTCCGTATTATTCGGCTTTGTTTGTTTTTTCAGTTGCTGTATTTTGTAACATAATCTACAATTGGAATTTTTGGTTTCTGGACTCCAACGTTTGTCTATTTTAATTTTTAATTGTTAGTGGAAATAAAAGAAATGGTCACAATTTTACATAGAAAGATAAAGGAATACAATACATAAACATAAATATTTATAATCATTACATACAATATAAATAGAAGCTTAGGGTGATTAAAAGAAACCCCTTTGGCACGTACTACTATCTGATATTAGTTTCATGTTATGTTATATGATAATAAATTTAAAGATTTATTTAATAATTTAGAGTCAAATACACATACAGTTAATAACTTATGCTTAAACATAAATAAAAATAATTAATGTGTACCTTATGAACCAAACTTTGAAAAGTATAGACGCAATGATATATCATCATCATCATTTCAGCCTGTTTGAGTCCACTGCTGAACATAGGCCTCCCCCATAGACTGCCACGACAGTACGATCCTGAGCCACGTGCATCCATCGACTTCCCGCACATTTGCACAGGTCGTCACTCCATCTAGTGGGGGGTCGTCCCACACTGCGATGGCCAGTAATAGGCTGCCACTCGAGAACCTTTCTCGAGGTATTTCTCTGCGTGATAGAGTTCGTAACGAAGACATCCGCAGTAGAACCAAGGTAACCGACATAGCTCAGAGGATTAGCAAGCTGAAGAGGCGATGGACCGGCCATAGAGCTCGTAGAACCGATAACCGTTGGGGAAGAAAGGTTCTCGAGTGGCAATTATATATAGTAATAATATAATAGAGTATTGGGATGCATAAATCTGGCTTAAGAATATTCTGTAACAAGATTTGATGCCGAATGTGAAGTATAGTATAATTCATTGTTATTCTGTTTTAATTTTTGGAGGATTTAGTTTTTTTTTTCTAAATATGTATGTACTTAAAATTTGTACTAAATTTATTCGATATCTTTAAAAATTAATATCCAATTCATTAATTAAGCCCAGGTTTAAATATCGGCTACACAAAATGTTGGTAATTAGCAGCTTCTCGTTTACGATCGGTTACGACGACGTGTAGATGAGACTCATTAGGTATAAAAAATAAAAAATTATTAAAAGACAAGAGAATCAAGCGGATAGCGAACCGTCTTAGGTAATATAAAGGATATTTATTTATGCAGGTATTTCGACGGTCGCAATATAGTCCTTCGGGCCACTCGGCCCCTCGCAGCTGGGGAAATCGTTTCAGAGAACTACGGACCGCATTTCCTAATGCGCAACCTGAAAGAGCGGCAAAGATGTTTGGCGTGTAGATATTGGTTTAAGTGCGACTGCGTTGCTTGCAAGGAAGACTGGCCGACTTTGAAACAGATGAACGCCAGCGCTCCTTTCCTTAGGTGAGTTCAGAAAGTAAGTTAAGTTTGGCTTCTTCCTCGTAAGAACCAAAATGTAAGCTCTTAAATTCATTTTTATTTCAGTGTTTCTTAAAGGAATTTTATCCAAAGTCCATTATTAATAATGATAAAAAATTTATTTCATGCGACATCACCATAACTACAACAGCTTAAATTATAGTTATTATTCAACATATTCAATTTAAGCCATTATTTCCGACATGATTATTTGGAGTACACGGTGTATCATGCATATGGTGTATATATGTGAATCCAATATCAAATGCATTGTATAATTCAATAGTTTTGTGGAAACAAACACATGGAACCTAAATTTCTGTATTTTTATATACCTACACATAATCACATAGATTTCAACGAGCATTTTAATACTAAAAACCTTAACATTTATACAAACTGTTTGATATACTTGTTAAAATTCTTAAGAAACAGTTACCTATTTCGGATAATATTTATTTTCGATAATGACACTGAGACCACCTTCATTTAAAACAAAATTGAAACACTGGTTCTTAGACTATAAATATAATTTAATTTTTTTTAGATGTCCTAACATTTCGTGTTCTTGGAAATTCATTGCAAATCAAAAAAGCCTTCCGAGCAGATGCTCTAAGTGTTCAGTACCTATTGAAAGGAATTTAGTAAAAGTATATTTGGAGACCGTTGACAGCTGTTTGTCAAAATATGAGGTGAGTGACCTAAATACTTCACAATAAATAAATCAAATGATTAATATGTACGTTTTCGAAGCGCCGTAAAGTAAAAACTCAAGTGGCACGAGTATATTGAATTAAAAGCGAGCGCCCGGACTTGTATAAGTAAAACGAACGTGTCATAACTAAAACGAAGAACAAGAATAAATTGACGGGTTTCCTAACTGTTTTTAGTTTATGCCGGGGAAAATGCTTCCTGCTCTCCCAGATGGAATTCGGAAATTCCTTCCAAGGATTTAATTCGATTTATTTGGAGTTTAGGTTATGTTATATAGTCATGTATGTACATTTAAAACTAAAATTATTCACCTTAATAACTGTATATTATGTTAATAACAGTAGAAAAAACTTTTAGTGAAAGGGCTATGAACTCCTTTTGGTTAAGGAATAAAGTGTGAGCACATTTTTATTTTCATAACACAATCAAAATTCGAATTCAATAAATACTTTTTTGGTAATTCATATATTTAACCCTCTACTAGTTTACAGTGCCGCGACCTGTACTATGAATATCTTTTTTTTATTTTAAACATACATATTTCAACTTTGCAATGAAAAAGTGTGATCTAATGGCCGGAAACGATAACGTAAAAATTCTCGTGCCTGGACATCCGCAGTTTAATTATATCAACAAAAAATTAAGGAAGTTAAACACTTCACTGCCACCAGCAGCATTGAGTTTGCAATACAATTCAATCACATCCAGGCCGGATCCCATGACTGAAGGCGTTGTTAATTCCAAAATTTTCATCGAAAGCTTTAATTGAGCGGCCATGTTGACGTGATGAAAAATTATAGATTACAATTGCATACGCCATTGCAAAATGTGTATAACAATATGAAATATATATTTGATTTTCTGTCATATAAAATAAACGAGAACAATTTAATCTCTAAATATGCAGCAAGTAAGACGCATTTAATATTATTCATAAACTGCGACGCACTTACACGCTTTTGAAAATATTCTCTCAGCCGTGCGTAATCAACGTACTAATAGCTACCCTCTTTGACGATAGTTAATTGCTATTCAGCTAGCATTTTGCTGCCCGTGTATGCTTCAAACCATGAATAATTCACAGGAAAGTGTATATAGTGTCTGTCAGTTTTCAGTCTGAACCAATGACCGCGTTAAATTCGTACTCGACCGTGTTTACTTTGTTGTTTTATTTCCATGATTTGTTTATTAAAGGCTTTTTTATTAAGTTAAAATACCTCGTTCATAATAATATTCTCAAAAGAATACTATTAAGTTCGATTTAATGTAAATTGACAAAAAATCTTTGAGCAGCTGATCAGAAATTTATCATTAGTTATCATCAAAAATATTAAACGATTACAACTCCTATAATGAAGTTAGTCATAAAAGTAAAAAAAAAAAGATGACTATTGGTATTATATATTAGAAATCGGGTCCACGAGCCTGCCGCCTACAGCTTACCTAGTCGGTCGGTTTCCTTTGTTTTACTGTGTATATCTTCTTTGCGAACTTATTAAGACTCGTACTAGCCATCGCAATGCAGGACGACCCCCTGATGGAGTGACGACCTGTGCAAGTGTGCGGTATGTCGATGGATGCAGGTGTCTCAGGATCGTGCTTCGTGGCAGTCTGTTGGGAGGCCTATGATCAGCAGTGGACTCCAATAGGCTGAAATGATGCTGATGATGATGATTTAAACATGCAAACTTATAAAATAGTGAATTTATGAAAACAAAAGCTGGCAGAATGAACTTGACATGCTGTTTCAGTGATTTAATTGACGTGACGTCTAATTTAAGTGACGTCTAATTTCATTGACGTTACTTTTTTATTTTATTAAAAAACTTTTTTGAGACTTGGTCGCACAGTTCCTATACTAAAAGAGTAAAATTTCTAAATTTTAATTGTGCATTATTACTCTGCAGTAAAGGCAACATTTTAAAAATGAAGGAATGGTCATAAATTACGTACTAGACTCCTAAGACTTGTACGCTAAAGAAACATTGCTAATAACATTTCATAGTGAAATATCTTTACGAATATATTCGTTATTATAAATGGTGAGTGTGAGAACTTCTCTTCAGTGATAAAACTCAGCAGTTTGCTGCTACCAAAAGATTTAAGAAATACTTTAAAGAAAAAGTTTTAAAAAATATTATAATAATATAAATTAATACAATAATGACAATAATATATAAATAGTTCATTTATTATTACAGTAATAATAAATATTTCCCCAGGGATTGTGTTGATCCCTCCAAAACTATTTCTAAAATTAAAATGATTTAACATTTTAATGCTTTGAGGGAAAAGATGACAAAAATGATAATACCTAAGGAGTTTCCTTCGCCCGTTTCTTTTCCGTTCGAGACGAAATAGTGGTAGATTTAAAAAAGTTCTATCAATAGATAATAATGATACGTTTCATGGTATCATTACGCTATGATGATTTTTAATCGTCACGTTTGAGTAATAATTTCCAGATTAATGTAATGTAAAAGACGTTAGGCGATGAAATAGTTTTATAACAATTTTTAATTTTTCATTTCATAATTAAAAACGCCAAAAACTCATTAACAAATACTGAAATAAATTGAAAAAAGGAAGAAAATGAATATCAATTTTTAAAATGAGATAGTCCTTTCCCTAGTATAGAAAACTTGTTAAAGCAAGCATGCTTTCCTGTGCCTATGACATTATTTCATAGAATATTAATTTTCTCTATCAACCTATTTCAATTAATATAAGTCCCACCAAAGCAGCCATACACCCTCAAAGGCTAGTTTAATTCGACTCTATATTAAATTTTCTCGTTGAAACCTTTTCAAACCTCTAAAAATTTCTTTACTTTACTCCTCTAAATTGATTTATATACTTAACGCAAATATTCAAAAATAAACATTTAATTTTGTCTTTTTCATCGTTGTATTAACATTCTTCTATAAAGTTAATAAGAAAACATTCCAAAGGCATTTGTGAGTGATATCTTAAATGCCTACGTAATATTTTTTCTTGCATTAATTGGATCCTTATTTTTATTGTTTATCGGGCTTTTCTGCCTTAGGCAGATTAGTAGGTAGGTACTTTCTTATTTAAGACCGGTTATCGGTAAAATTCTTGGAATTCTATTGTTTATATTGTTCATTTCGTCGTGGATTACAATTTAATCAGTTCTTTGAAGGTTAGATAAAATACAATTTTTCGTACCTTGTTATGTATATCTCATTAAAGTAACACATCATTTAAGTAGGATGAAGGGTATTTCATAAATTTTGTTTAATTAAGGTAATATATAGGAAGGTGGTACTTTAATTTGGTTTTTAAGTTTACTTAAATTGGGTAAACCAAAAATGGCGCAAAGTAGATAATGGCGTATAACACTTTCTTCAAGTTTCGTCTGGTAAGTAAGGTGGCCTGTAACTCCTCAGGTATTTTAATTAATGTCCATGAGTTGCAGAAAATACTTAAAATCAGCTGACACTTCCTGACTTGCCAATTAAAAAAAAAATAAGGAAACAGCAATATTAAACATTAAATCCGAAAGCCATTGATTTCAAAATGTTGAGGAAAATTTAAATAGAGCGTACAGTGCGTACATTAAGAAGAAACAGATTCTAAGAGTTAATTAATTAAGAGTTAACTAAATAGAAACTTATTCACTTTTTAGGAAGGTGCTAGACTGATGGAGGCGGAGCGTCCAATGGAAGCAATTGATGTTCTGTGTGAAGCAGTGGATATGTATCACGAGGTAGCCCGCATGCCACATAGGGAGACCCACATTGCCCAGGAATCACTGCGCTCTTGCTTTGCTACATTCGGCAATGTGCACATCGTAAAAACACCTAGTCTGGACGAGACAAAGGAAAACAACTAACAGTACAACGTAATAAATGACAATCGCAACTTTGACTTTCAATGACTCTTATGAATTGAAAGTTACATTTTTGTTACAGTTTATTATCACTTAAAATGCCATATTATGGCAATAAAACCAATTTATTTAATAGTTATTGACGTGTCTGTGTGAAATTTTACTCTAGTATTCGCTTTTGTTTGTATTTACAAAAGGCTTATATCAGGCACTTACAGGAATTTTCCTGTAAGTGCCTGATAATTATAAGCCTGCCGAATACAAAAGCAGTCACAATTTTTTTAATGGAATGAAATGTTAGTTTTAATAAAAGTAGTTTCAATAATATGCTATTTTATTTCGAAATTATTACTTCAAAGTCGTATGTGTCATGAACGTATAAAAACAAGATCGCAAAAATAATCGATTAAAAAAAATTGTATATCACGAAACAAAGTTTTCCCATAACGATACTTTGAATAGTAATTTTACAAGGTATAACGCAACTGTCGTTAATAAAATGCTAAAATCATGACATAATTAGAAAAAGTCTATCAAAAACAACCACTCAATAAGGTTACGATAATACGTGATAGGCTTATTGTAAAAAAATTAAGGGGTTTCGAAGAAGTTTTTACAGGCACACTCTTGAACATCCCCGTCGTCGTCTGCATCCGAGCTAGAGACTGTACGACGTAGAGTCCTGACCTGATCCTGCAAACCTAAAACTCTCAGTTCGGCCTGTTCAAAATTCTCTTTCAGACGATTTATCTGGCATTGCATTCGACACTGGACCTGAAAATTTCAAAAAACTTGTTCACTTTCAGGAAATAGATGGAAACAGTCCGTTCCTTGAGCAGAAATTGCGTATTATAAACTGAGGTACCAGGTTATCTTTTCAAGAATTCTAAAGACAGACTTAAACTTAAATTTCTTAAATTCATCTACTACTTATGTCCGCAAAAATAAAATAAAACAAACAGAATATTTATCCTTTTATAACGTGAACTTGTAACAGTTTTAACTAGACCTATACCCATTTTTTTATATACGGAGGCGGCAAGCGAGCCGACGATTCACCTGATGTTAAGCGATTACCGATGCCATGGACATTTGCATCACCCGTAGGCTTGCAAATATGTAGCCACCATTCCAAAAAGTGGACCCCGGTTACCTCACTCACCAGACGAAACGTAGAAGTATAAAACTTCCACTTTACGCTGGCTGTGAGATCTGGTCCTGCCCATTCGTTCAAAATAGCCTGGCTCGTGGAAATAGTTAGAAATAGTCAAAATTCATTTATACAATACAACAAAGTCCTCATGACAAGAAAAAAAGAATTCAAGTCAATGAAATATAGCTTCACTGCACTAAGAAACATTACTTACTTCTTCACGATCTTTTTCTGCATTCTTAACCTGAGCTCTAGAGGCTGCAAGCTGTCTTTCCAGCTCAGCAACAGTTGTCTGCATGCACCTGGGCATGGAAATGTATATATATCAAATCCATATTAATTTACGAAAAATCCCAAACAATTAAGACATAATTCGATTCCAAAGAATATTCTTATGGAACTTGAATGTAACAATAACTTACAAATATGTTACAAATATTTTACAAATACGGTCTTTGTTCGTTCAAAAAGTACCTGCAGGACCGAGGTTTACTCGTCTTTTTTTTTTGGTAAATCATGTATTTTGGAAATAAAAAAATAAAAAAATTAAGTAATGATCTGGTTTAGAAAAAGAAGTAAAAAAAAATAAATGTGTAAATATGATCGTGACACGAACCGCGGCTTTCTGTTTCGGGGCTGCCCGATTACCGACCGAGCTATTATAACATTTGTTTTTCGGCGAAATTTACCGTCATTTTCGAATGATATTTTTCATTCCCTGAAAACAGGAATAAAAGGATATTTTCTAAAAATGAAACCTAGCTAGATCGATTTTTCGCCCCCGAATCTACGCACAAACATATAAAAATAAATATGTAAGAATTGCTCGTTAAAAGGTATTAGATTTTGTGCCGGAAAAACAAAAATCCAAGCAAATACAGAATTTGAGGAGAAAATAGCGAGAAAATGTTCAAAACAGAACTCCTTGCTGTGTTTTCCTCCCGGTCTAAACCGAAAAAAAAAAAACAGACGAACGTAGGGCCAACGTACTTTCGTATGGACTCTGTACGTTCATTAGCGCGTTGCAGTGCTCGCGCAGCCTCGTCGCGATATCTGTCTAATTCTCCGCCGAGTTGCGCACACTCGTGCATCTTCTCTTGCAGACGCTTTTCGTTCGCTAGCACGGACTCTTCCATGCGTATTACGTTTGCTCTGAAATATTTTTTCGCTACCGTAAGTAAAATAGAACGAATTACGAGGTACTTCTCGTTGTCTTACTTAATTAGGCATGGTCTCTTGGGACCGGTAATTACACTTGTATTAAAAAAAAGTCAGCGTGGATAATAACGAAAACTGTTTATTTGCTACAAATTTATTCGCACAAACCGATGGTCAATTTTCATATGGTTGACAACATTTAGACCTACTCTATATAATATTATTATTCTTCATTAACAACAGTAAATTTTTAACTAATCACTTTGACTTTAACTATAAAATATGGAATTTGAAGGAAATATTTTCCACAAGTATATTCCACAATTTTGTCATAAGGATCATGTCATATGAATTAAGATTATTAAATCACTTACTTCAGCCTTTCAATTTCATTCTTAAGACCCATGTTAGTCTCCGTTAATTGTGAAATTCGTTGTTGTAAGAGAGCCATTTGTTTCTCATCTGCTCCCTTCTCCGGAGCTTTCTCTGGTGGTTTGATGGTGTTATGCAAAAGTACATGGACCTATAAAAATCAATAGTTATACTAGGCAATATAATATAATAATAATTAGTACTAACTATACACTATAAAAATTATAAATTGAAAGCCTTACGGTTTTTTATTCTAAAGCTCGTTCAATATTAGAATTGTCTGAGAAGATAAAAATATCTCTGCAGAAAATACATTTAATTAACGTTACAAATTTATTCGTACAATTACAATACCTTTTCTCTAGCGCAATTCAATTCTCTGGCCAGCTGCTCCGCATTATGTTCGGCGATAGCCTGAGATTGCTGCGCGTCTTTCAGCCTCATCTGTGTAGCTTTCAATAAATCTGGGATAGGTGTCAATTCTTGTAGCTTTTCTTGGAATTTTATCTGTGAAAAGACCACTTGATTTAAAGGAATGTGTATTTTGTTTAAAATAAACACGATAATGGCTTTAAAACATGCCTTCACTCTTTGTATCTCAAGATTTATTTGTTCACTTATTCTTGTGTTATCCATATCCATCATGTCCATTTGCCTCTTCTGCTCTTCGACAAGTTGTTGCGCTTGAAGGTACTAAAAGTGAGAAAAATTTTTTAATCGGTTTTCTTGTTTGATTTCTTGTTGGTAGAAGTTTTACATATTTTGATTTTTAAAGTTTGGGTTGCTACCTACTTTCACTCTATAGTCCTGAAGTTGATCGTTCTGTTCCTTCATCAATATACGCAGTTCGTCTATTTCTTCTCTGGCTTCTCTGTAACATTGTTTCAACCTTCTAACATTCACCTCCTGCTCCAATGCTTCTTCTTTTGTGCCTAGCAACATATTTGTGTGAGTAGCTAGTCCTTCAAACTTCATTTCCAACTCTCGCAACTTGTTTTCAACTTCTCGGTGTTGACATCGCTCTTTTTCTAACTCCTCTTTTTTCTTGAGAAGCTCTGCACGAAGCAAGGCGCACTGAAATGTATTATATAACATTAAAAAAAAATCTTGAACGCTTTTCTTTATTTTAAAACTAAAGCTTTTGAGCACACTTAAACAACTGTCATCAAAATCAATTCTCATTACCGTTAGTTATATGTATGTATATATGTGTCATATATTATTTATTTCTACTTTATTGTACACAACAGAGAATTCAATACAATTAACATAAAATAATCTTAAAAGTTAGTTACAATGAGGTGGTTTTATCGTTAAAGAGCGATCTCTTCCAAACGACCTCAGGACAAGGAAAATTAAAGTAATGAATAGTGGGAGGTAGTTTGATTGATAAACTTACTTGATAATACAAAAAGTACCCGGAGGATCGGTTTGTTTTTTTTTTTTGATAAATCGTGTATTTTGGAAATTACATTTAGATACAAATTATTGAGTAATGAAATATGCATAATATTTTACGATCTTACCGACGTAAAAATAAGAAAATACGAACTGATGTTTTTCACAAAAGAAAGAACTTTAAAAAAAAAAGGGAAAAAAATAACAAAATAAGAAATGGACAAAAAATTAAAATTAAAGAAAGCAATGATCTGGAATCGAAAAAAAAAGTAAAAAAATAAATGTGTAAATGATCGTGACGCGAACCACGGCCGTCTGTTTTGGGGCCGCCCGATTACCGACCGAGCTATTATGACATTTTCTCTTGCGGCGAAATTTACCGTCATATTCGAATTATATTTTTCATTCCCTGAAAACAGGGATAAAATGGGCATTTTCGAAAAATGAAACCTAGCTAGATCGATTTTTCGCCCCCGAATCTATGAACATACTAAATTTCATGAAAATCGCTGGAGCCGTTTCCGAGATTCCGATTATATATATATATATATATACAAGAATTGCTCGTTTAAAGGATAAGATAAATGTATTTTTATATATCAATATATTTTTAATTATTATTATAATATATATATATATATATATATATATATATATATATATATATATATATATAATTTGAATTCTTAATACTTAACTGAAAATTTTCAGCTTCAACGATGACGATGGGTACTTCATGAGTTTAGTGAATTGAATTTGCAAACACCCGTCGACTGCTGTGTTACTTTGCTCAACAGACACAATAATGAATTGACTTTAAATCGAATCATTACTCGTGATGATAAGTGGATACTGTACGATAATCGGAAGCGCTGGTCGCAATGGCTGAACCCTGGAGACCCAGCCAAATCCTGCCCTAAACGAAAATTGACCCAGAAAAAGTTACTTGTGAGTGTTTAGTGGACTAGCGCCGGTGTCGTTCACTACAGCTTTCTAAAATCTGACCAAACGATTACGGCAGATATCTATTGCCAGGGACTGCAAACCATGAAGGAAGAAACACACTACACAATGCAAGAGAACACACTACACAACTAACAATCATTATGTTAGATGACTTACAATTGGAATGTCTACGACATCCACCGTATTCCCCGGACCTTGCTCCAATAGATTTCTTCCGGAATTCGGACAACTTCTTTCGAGAAAAAACATTCAACTCCGGTTACTAGATGCATACTTTAATTAAATATATTTTACAAAAGAAAAATTACTATATTCCTCCCATACAAAACGACAATTTCATATGTAAGGACCTAATATCGAGTGTTGTTTAAATTGTTGTATACAATTTAAAAAATATATATATAAATATATAATTATATACATATTTATTATTATGATACACGATACTGACCTGTGCACTTACGTTATACCACCCTAAGGTGGAGTTGCAATGCAGTAGGCATTAAGTACCTATGCTTTTTTACAAGCGTATATGTGAAGTTTAAATAAATAATTTGTAAAATTTCACTACTTGAAGTATAGCAGTTTATGTAATTCAAAACATCTGTTAGCATATACTACTTTAAAATTCTTAAACATAATATCATTTATTGCTTCGCCAACATAGCATGATCTCTGCAGAAAAATTCTTATACTCTCTATAAGATTACTTACCTCAGCAACTTTGGTTTTGAAACTTTCTTGAGTTTGTTGCAGTTGGATCGATAGCTTCTGCACTTCTTTCTCTGCTGGCGTCTGTAACAATTTTATTTTTTTTTGTAAAAAAATGCATTACAACGAATAAGAGTGAAACAAACCTTATCAGATTCTAATCGCATACCGGAGGAGCATTGGGATTGCATGGTGCAGGACATGGAGGACAAACTCCGCACTGAAATAAATTTTATTTCATAATGTTTACAAGGGCATTTTCTTTTAAGCTAAAACCAAAAAATACACTAACCGCAAATACATTAAGCTTAATGTGAATAGAGCGTGTCACAACCAGTGACTACACGTCTAATAAGTACATGTACGATAATCTACACATTCAATTACCTCCAGTACGGAGTACTATTATGAAAACAATGTAAAGTCTATGGCCTTCAATATTAGGAAAACACTGCAAAAGGAGAAAGTATCAGCGTTACCATCATAAACAGGTATGGAACGTGCATTTCAGTGTGCCTTCCGTTGTCATTACCATTTCGATAGTTATAAATTACTTATATGGAAATTGTGTCTTTTACATGTAATAGACGCCTGACTTTTGTGCTTGAGCTAGACATGCGTGTGATGGAGTCATTGTGTGTAAGATGCCGTACAATTATTTCATTGTCCATATAATGGACGTAAATTACAATGGGTATTTGGCTTCTTATTCAATCTCAATTTAATAATGAAAAATGAAAAGCCAGTATTTATTTATCAACCCATCACCGTTTACCTAAATTGAAAACATGTGTTATTATTTTACATACTCAGTTAATATACGTATATTAAAATGAGCACTTAATAAGTCAGATATGTTCTCCTTTTCATTAAATAAAATTATTTATAGAATAAAATTTCAGGTTTTTGGAATTTTTATATCGAATATCTAGGTATTGATTTTCATCGTGATTTCGAGGTCTTTGATCTTCTTCATCTGAAGTGAAATTCAATTCTACGTTACGATTAAAGTTAAAGAAGTTGTAGAGTTTTCTTTTTAAATCTGCGTGTCCTCTTCAAGGTATTTGAAACTTTAACTTACGGCTCTTGACATAGGAGGAACCGGAGGTCCGTTAGGCTGGAAATATCAAAGAATATTAAATTTAAAATTTGGAAATTATAATTTGTGCTCTAGTGAAATGAAAGTAAAAAGAAAAAAAAACTAATTTATTTAATATCAATGCAAAGGTGATTAATTATATTACATTGCTTAATTTGTGCATTACTTTATTTAAATTGCTATAAAATTTTGATAGTATCTCACTGGTTGTTTGAAACACGTGTTCGGGCCAGATGGACTGCTGCCTCGGCAAGCGCTGCCTGGCGCCTTATCCTTCAATGAATCCATTTCCGTTTTTATGTATCGGATTTCGAACTCTAACTCGCCTATCTGCTTTTCCTTTAATTGATGATAATAGTGGTTAATTTTTTTTAAATTTCTCACCGAAACACTGCTTTTAAAGTTCTACAAACCTATGAGAAGATTTATATTAGAAAAGTGCAAAATATGTAGTTGAGCGATTCCACTGGCTCATATTCCCTCACAGCTTTAAAGTTGTTAACACTAAATACTAGAAAATCAGTACAGAAAGATTGTAAACGCAGGAAAATTTGAAAGAAATGTGATTAAGTAAGGGCAAGTAAACAGAAAAGGTTATGAAATATTCAAGGAATATGAATATGAAGACCGAGTAAGTTTGTATTTTTATAAATAATAAAATAACAACTACAATTTTATTACAAAATAATTATAAAGTCATTGTATAGAAACATAATTTCACTAACAGCTTTAAAACTTCCCACGATAAGACAGATATTCGTACATGTTACAGACATTACACGTATTTGTAATGAAAACACGTCAAAATTGAACGCAAACGTGTAGAAATTGAGCCGGTGGTGATATAAAGAACATATGTATGTTTTTTCAAGATGATATTTCTAAGATCATATCGAACAACTTCCAACATTTAAGCTCTTCTATTTTCATTTTCAAGCTACTAGTCATAACATAAGTTTGGGGCGTACTTTGAATGAATATAATAAAATATGTAGAATAATATTCACTCACGAGATTTGTGGTGGAACTTTTGTAACTGTCAAGTTTATCTATGAGCTCTTGAGGATTTTTCACTTCAATATTTTCTCCCTTCTACAAAGGTATTGATTACAGTTATTTTACACCATATAAGTATTAAGGACCTAATGTAAATAGCTATTTACTAGCGACAGCTATATTGGTTACTAGCGATAGCTATCGCTAGTCACCAAATCTATCCGTAAATAGAATATTGAAACCGGCCGTAAATGTAAAGTTTACATCATCACAGAAACACTTCATCAAAAAAAAACTTGTATTTATAAGTGGCTGACACATAAATAAATGTAGATTTTCTAAATACGTATAAACAATTACTTTACCTGTTCACAGGATTCAATTTCTTTTTGGTTTGTTACTTTTTGACACATCACCGTCGCATCACCCTAAATAATATCGAAATTAAAAATTACTATTTTCTCCATGTAACAACTGAAAAAACTGATATTGTTGCGTTTAAATATCAGAGATATGTTCAGAACTATCCAAGTCTTATTATTACATAGTTACATAGTATAGCTATTGTCTGTCATACACCATACTTGACAAATGCATTGAAACCAACTTGAACTCAATTATAAACCTAGTCATGAATGGTTGTACCTCAGGATTATTCTTATTCAATTTCTCAGTAAGGACCGAGTTTTCGATGTTCAACAGTTTTAACTCCCCCTGTAGTCTCTTTATTTGAGCACGGCAAGTTTCTAAGTTCTGATCCTTTGTCATTAGCTCCTTGTATAAGATGTATCTGAAAAAATATATATATACATAGCTAAACTAACCCTGTTCCATTCATTTTTCTGTTTTATTTAGATTTCTCCTAAAACATAATTTTGAAAAAAAAGCTGTGCTCTTGCGGATTACGAATTACATACACGCCGTTAATGTCATGTTTGACATTTTTTATACAGTTTTAATATTAACGAATATGGCTATGAATCACAAAGGTTGTATAGTTTTAAAAAAATCTACCTGAAAACAAGAATGATAGAATATGAAAAGCTACATTACGCACCCGCACCAGCTCTCTGAACGGCATAAATTACTGCAGAAGATGTACAGTACGCTTGAAAAATATTAAGTATCTTTAAAATAAAATCATTCTGTAATAGGTTTTGGTAGGTTGATTATATGATCATCCTTCATGGTTGAAAGTATGCGTGTGAAAAAAAAATATTTTTCACCAATGAATAACTTATTTATATACATATGTAAATGCAATTGTAGACTGACGGTAACACGAATAATAATGTTTGTTATTCTTGGAGTAACAAAATCAATATAATTAAAACTAAAAGTCTTAGAAACTATTTAAAAATCCACATTTTAAGACATTAACTCAGTTTCTCCCGTAACCGTGGGTCTCTGTAGTGTTTGAAATGTTGGGAATTAAAACCATAATCAAACGCCAAATTATTTATACTTAACAATATATAAAAACAATATATACTTAACAATATAATAATATTATGTTCATAAAAAAGTCTAAATTGGAAATGAATCCCCACACAATTTAATTAGGTAGAATGGACAGCTCGAGCTAAGGCACAGATAACTATAATAATTATGGAAGGCCATTCCTATACGTTTTGGTGAAAATATGTCCTAATGGTGTCCTATGCTAATACTACACTATAAATAAATATGACATAATAATGTCCTTAGACACACTTCGCCGAGAGTGTGCTGTCTCTGAGTGTCAATATGGATTTCAACCAGGTTCAGGCACCGTGGATGCCATTTTTGCTCTCAGAACTTTGATGGGGGCATACAGGGAGAAAAGGAGAGCTCTGCATCTAGCATTCCTGGATTTGCAGAAGGCCTTTGACTGTGTACCTCGTCAGTGTATCTGGTCGGCATTGCGATCTAAAGGCGTAACCGCTGTTGGCGATACCAAACCCTTCCCGATCACTGTAGGGGTACATCTGGGCTCAGCTCTTAGTCCGTTTTTGTTCAACGTAGTGCTAGATGTGATCTCGGCTCACATACAGGACCAGCCTCCATGGCTGATGATGTATGCCGATGATATAGCGCTCGTTGACGAGAGCCGGCTGGAACTGGAGCGAAAAGTAAATCTCTGGAAGGGTACGCTTGAGAACGGCGGTCTTAAACTCAATGTGGCGAAGACCGAGTATATGGCTTGCGGGAGTTCGGACTCCAGCACGATCCAAATAGGTTCTGAACCAGCCGTTAAGTCGGAATCGTTCAGGTACCTTGGATCTGTTTTGCACGAGTCCGGAAGCATCGACCATGATGTCCAAGCCCGGATACGCGCTGCTTGAGCTAAGTGGCGAGAGGTCACAGGTGTGATCTGCGACCGCAGGATACCACCCAAGCTGAAGGGACAGGTTTACAAGAGCATCATCCGGCTTGTACTTCTGTACGGTAGCGAGTGCTGGCCAGCGCTATCTCGGCACACTCAAGAGCTTCACGTCACGGAGATGAAGATGCTAAGATGGATGTGCGGTGTCACGCGTGCTGACCGCATACGTAACACATTCATTCGAGGCAGTCTCGGGGTCCGTGACGTAGCGGATAAGCTCCAAGAGCGGCGGCTGAGATGGTATGGCCATGTCGCACGCCGGTCGGAAAAATATGTCCGAAGGATATGCCTTGATATGCCTGTCCCAGGAGCTAGACCTCCTGGCCGCCCAAGGAAGCGATGGCTGGACGTTGTGAAGCAGGATATGAGAGCCAATGGACTGACCCATGAGGATGTCGAAGATCGGGCAAAGTGGAGAAGATTAAGTAGGAAAGCAGACCCTGGCAATTGCTGGGATAAATGCTAGGTAGAAGAAGAATGTCCTTAGACAACAACACTAATCAAATAACTACCCAAAATTCTTTGATCTAAAAGAGCATGCGCTGATGGTCAGCATTTTTTCGGCATCGGGACGTGACGACATCATCGCCCGATGGTGGGATAATCTTGTGACAAAGATTATTCCACCAGTGCAGTCAGTCAATCCAACTAGTGGTAGTGCCATGCTGTGCACCTTCGGGTAACAACTGAATTGGGCCGGCACGCCCGGGGAAGAACCACTCTCTCACTAGATACCGACGTCTTACCGTGATGCAGATAACTTCTCGAGCTGACACCTCATTCCTCTCCTACCCGGGGTACAAACGATTTAGCATTGGCATATGATCTGACACAACCTCACCTCGCCAACTCGAATCCCAGATACGGGGATCATACACCTTCCCTGTTGGACCTTCTGTTGACCTCTCATCTGGACGGATACTTGGTTTCCGTCGATCCTCCCCTCGACTCGTGGGACCACTGTCTTATCCGGAGTACAGTGCCAATAAAGCGCTTAACACGGCCTGACTTTGCGGACTGCCGCCGCGTATGGCATTATAGGTCAGCAGATTGGGATGGGATGCGGTCATTCTTTGCGTCCTACCCATGGGGGCAGATTTGCGTCTCGCCGGATGATCCAGACGTCGTTGCTTACTCAGTGACTGATGTGGTGCTTTAAGGTATGGAACTCTTTATTTCGTTCCCTGCAGTGCCCATTGGTGGCAAGTCGCTGCCCTGGTTTGGTCGCTCCTATAAGTTGGCATTACGCCGAAAGCGGAATGGTACCAGGCTTGGGCTGACGCTTCGACGTCAAGTGATGTTAAAACCAGCGCTTTAAAAAAGAAGTATAATTCTGCCTCTAGGTCCTTCAAAAGCGTTATTGCTAAAGCGAAATCGGAACATATGGGCAGAATTGGCGAGAGATTGGCGCGTCTCCCAACGGGAACACGTGCGTTTTGGTCTCTCGCCAAAGCAGTCTTGGGAAATTTCTGTAAGCCTTCTTGTCCAGCCCTACACATGGAGGATGACTCGCTGGCCCATGCCGCGAAGGAGAAAGCCGATCTTGTGGGCTCTCTCTTCACGTCCAACTCGACTTTGGATGACCGAGAAAAATTACCACCGACAATCCCGCGTTGCGATGCGTACGTTACGGATCTTTTCCGGCTCTCCTATACTCTAGGCGTAGTCCCGAAATCCTGGAAGACCGCTTTAGTGCCCCCGGTCCCTAAGAAAGGTAACAGCTCGGATTCGTCCAACTACAGATCTATAGCCATCACATCATTGTTCTCCCAGATAATGGAGACCATTATTAAATGCCAGCTCCTGCGGTATCTAGAGGAGCACCAGCTGATTAGTGACCGTCGGTACGGCTTTTGTCGAGGTCGCTCAGCAGGTGATTTTCTAGTTTACCTGACACACAGAAGCAGTGGAGAGTAAGGGGGAGGTGCTTGCAGCCACTCGGACATAGCGAAAGCCTTTGATCGGGTGTGGCACAAAGCACTTCTTTCGAAGCTGTCTTCCTATGGGCTTGCCGGAAAGTTATGCAACTGGATGACCGGCTTTTTGGCAGATCGAAGCATCAAGGTCGTCGGCAACGGTGCATGCTTTGATCCTAAACTTGTCAATGCTGGTGTTCCACAAAGCTGCGTACTGTCTCCCACTTTGTTTCTTCTGCATATCAATAATATGTTGCAAATCAGCAATGTTCGTTGCTATGCGGATGATAGCACTGTGGATGTCTAGTACACTGGCCTTGCTAACATTTCTCGGGAAAATGTTTACGAGAGCCGGAGCAAACTCGTGTCTGAAGTCGAGACTTTGCTAAAATGTCTCAGACTGGGAACGACTAAACTTAGTCCAATTCAACCCCAATAAGACACACGTTTGCGTGTTAATCGCAATCGCATTGCGCGTAAATCCCCATTTGTCGTGACTTCTCATTTTGAGAACACTCCCTTGTCTGCACAGCTAGTATCGGAATACTGGGCGTCGAAGTCTTGTGCAATGTCCAGTTCCGCGGTCAATTGGAAGGTAAGGCCAAATTGACCTCAAAGAAGCTCGGTGTGCTCAGCAAGGCGAGACAGTACTTCACGTCGTCTCAACGCCTAAACCTTTATAAGGTGCAAATTCGGCCCCACATGTAGTACTGCTCTCACCACTGGACAGGAGCCCCCTGTTACCAGCTTCTTCTATTTGACCGCATCCAACGTAGGGCAGCTAGGGTTATCGACGATCACGGTCTTTCCGATCGGCTTGATCCTTTGGCTGTGCGTAGAGATGTTGGATCACTCTGCATCTTCTACCGCATCTATCACGGGGAGTGTTCCGAGGAATTGCTTGGATCGATCTCGGCGGCTGAATTTAAACATCGGACATCGAGCCAGAACCAAAAATTTCATCCACACCACCTCGATGTCCAGCGTTCCACAACAGCACGATTTTCAAGGCATTTCCTGCCTCGCACAACCACCCTGTGGAACCATGCCGCCGGCGTTCGTTCCGAACCGTTACGACCTGGGAACCTTCAAGAAGAGAGCATACTTCTTCTTAAAAGGCAGGCAACGCATTTGTAAGCCCTCTGGTGTTGCAGATGTCCATGGGCGGCGGTGATCACCTACCATCAGGTGAGAAAAATATGAACGAAAAACCACGAATTAACCAATTGCCGGAAAAATTCTAAAAACAACACTTTTCTATATTCCCGTATAAAAGATTCGTAATAATACTTAAAAGTTAATTTGAACTTTAATACCATACCATAAAGTTTAAGTGTTAGTGAAGTGGTTCCGGGAAGGCAAAACAAGTGAGTGACTGTGGTAAAATGTCACTTGAAATGAACTACTCCGAAACAGCTCAACCGCTTTTAGTGAAATTTTGTGTGCGTATCAGCCAGGATGGAGAATCGGACAACATCTGTTTTTCATCCCCCAAAATGTTAAGGGTGGTCCACTCCAAACATTTTTTTCTACTCTACAAATAATTTATATGGCAAAACAACGTTTGCCAGGTCAGCTAGTTAATAATAATTATAGTATGGCACTTCGGGATGTATGTGTACATTGTATAATAAGAAATATGTGTATATCTAGTTAAAAATTAGTTGTGCTAAATGGCTTAGAAGCCGTGGCAGTTCCAGCTCTAAGATTAATTTAATAGTTTTTGCGGTACAGTCAGAAGCAATAATAAGAATATATTTTCAATGCTCCAGAAATTTGTATACACCTTCTGTTTAAAAATTATATACTCAAAATGAATCAATTACATAATAGTAATAGTGCTCTTAATATGTAATTGAGCTCAGGTCAATTACATAAAGGCACTAAAATATTTTGAGAAAGTGAAAAATACATTTGCTTATTTTTATATTATATTTTATTTTTAAACTTATTGCTTTTTACGTTTTTAAACATGTTTAAAATTTATTATGTAGTCATAATATTTTAATGAAACATTAAGCGTATAAATATTTATGATGTGTAGCAGTCACTACAACTTTATGCTCTTCACGTTGAGTACATATTTTTGAAACCGAAGGTGTATACAAATTTTTGAACCTTAATAATGTATATATATTATTACTCCTGACTGTACTTACGTCTGGTTCGATAAGTTATTGAATATGTTTTACGGTATAATATGCATATATGTGGTGTGAAAAATTAACGAATTATCCATTGGAGGTCCCGAGGTATTCTCTATGTTTTGAAGTTAGTACATTAGCATTGAAAATTGTAGTTACTCGGGAAACAAGCCTAAAGTTTAACTTTATTTGTTAAAATACCACATTCAGTTTTCATATTAGTCAACAAGTTACTTTTAGTCAACATTTTTTTTGTGAAATACACCTAAGTCACTGAAATTAGTATAATATGAACATTTTTAGCTTAAAGAAAATAATATGTTTAAAAATATATTACTGAAAAAACGGTAAGCGTCTCGTGTGTTTCTTGAAACACAAAGTTTCATTAACTTCCTTTTATTCTTTGGGTCATTAATACTAATAGCTGTAGGTCTTTTTGGGACTCGTGACGTATGTACTAAGGGAGTACTGAAGTATATTTATACATATTTATACCTTTAAACGAACAAATCTTGTGTATATATATATATATACATATGATCTGGATCAAATGGAAAACCTCGGTTTATTCGTGTTTTCAGGCAATGAAATTTCGGCACGATCTACAAGGTTATAAAAGCTGAGGTGGGAAATCAGAAGACTCCAGTTCGAGTCCAGATGATTTTTCCCCTTTTTTGCAAGTTCCGTCATTTGTGAGAAAATATCCAAGCAAAACTAATATAAAGAGTGCAACAGATTGCATTGATTTTCAATGCATAGATAGATCACGTGCTGAAAAATGATACACATATAAATTTTTATTCCAGATAATTACACGGTTTTAAATTTCTTAAATTACTGTGTTACCAACTGAATCTCATGATGGTTGTTAAGCAAATAAAATAAATATTCATATTTTAAAATGATTAATTGACAGTTTAAAATTGTACGAAAAACATTAAAGAAATAATTCACTATTATTGTTATTAGTTTTTGGGTTTGGACGTGTTTCATCTGTACTGTGAAATGTTCAGTATGCTATTTAAATATATTTTTTTATACTTTACGTATTTTCGTGTATTTTCATTCGTTCAAATAATAATTTACAGATATGCTCAACAATCTCTGTCACACACACATATTACGCATATGCAATAAAAGCAATTTTGTGAACTTCATATTAATAGATCACAAACATATTAATGTTTGTGATCTATTTCGTTTTTAAAATAATGTATTTGGTTTTTGTATGCATATAGCGTTCTCTGATATTGTATGTTTAAAGTTTGTGCTTTATTATGCTAAGTTCGGAATTATTTATATTCTCTAAATTAAAAGCCGTCAATGGCAACATTCAAGAAACATACTAGTTACTGTGTAAAGTTTAAGACTACTAGACCGCGACTAAAGATAGGATTCAACTATGGAGTTGGCTGAAGTTTGTGCTTCTCTTTTTAGGTTACTGAGCGTACTTATAAGTTCTGTGTTGCAAACTCCAGAAACAAAAAACTAATGGCTGAGTATTAACAATAATATTGCAGAAAGTTCACTATGCTTAGTTATTAATATATACATTATATATTATAAATGTTATGAGAAACGAGCTAAAATATTGTTGGTTCATTATTCAATTTATAATTGTTTTTAATATAATCTACAGAACTGGCAGTACACCTGATGGATGTTAAGTGATAACCACCGCCCATTGACATTTGCAACGTCCAAAGGGTTATAGATGCGTTGACACCCTTTAATAAAGTGGCGAGATGCAATTCTACCTCACACCGGTCTTCTGTGAGGTCGTGGTACTTTTCCGATCCTGCCTATTCGTGTAACATTCTTTTCTGTTGCACATTTACATATACGTAGTATACATGTCGGACGTTGTTTTGTAAGAAATGTTATTACTCTAAAGAATGTTTTGTTTCATTTTCAGGACGGTGAAATCTTATCGATAAGCTTTTTTAAGATTTTTTTTTAAGTTTTTTATGACAATTTAAACTAAGCCAAACCTTTTGACCTCTAAATCGGCATTATCAGCAACTAGCTTCTCTTGCATATCGTAGCTTTCACTCAATTTCCGGGTGAGATCAATTTCCTTAAAAAAACACGGAGTTATCTTTGGAAATCGAGTTTTGCTATTTTTATTAATTTCATAATTATTCACACATGACCAAGCATGCCACTTTGAAGACGTACAGATTTGCTACGAGGGATTGATCCACCACCCCCAAGTGCGGCCGATGTATTCATGCTTCTGCCAGTCCTCAAAAACGTTTCGGCATGACCCATTTTAAAGATCGGCATTGCGTGTTCTGTTAAAGGAACAAATTACAACGTTGAATGTCGTTTTAACATAAATTCCAGTTCTAAATTACTGAAAGATGCAATTAACACAATTAATACTGGTGGTGATAAATAACTCCTTACAATTATTGGGCGAAATAGAATAGCTGCCTCGCGCTCGCTCTTACAGCTAACCTACATGCTTGTCTGGCAAAAGTTTGGAACTATCAAAAATATCTGGCTAATGAGCAAACATCATGTACTTATTACCCAAGTATTATATATAAAGTCAGCTTTTATACTGTAACGTAAGTAAAATTATAATTTCATGAACATTGAGCGTGTCTGGCAAGGGTTTGTCACTATGTAAAGTGTCTGGCAATGAATAACGTGATTTTTAATAATATTCTGATGGTAATACCAAAAAATCGCACTTCATTATGTGACTAAAGTAGATCGGTATTTTACACACCTTTAGTACCATTTACCTCTCAAAGCTCAGGTAACCCAAACTCCATAATGGTCCAACGTTCTTACCAGTGTTGGGTGAGAACGATGACGACGAAGTTGCCAAAAACTTTTATCTTTTATAAAAATAACGAAAGTCTGGCGTTCACGGCCTCTTGCTCTATTAGCTTGCTACATTTTGAGTGAATTATCACAAAGAAAAAAAAGCTAAAAAAGTTCTCTTAGCGTAGCCGAATTTATAGATTATTTTAATATTATTTGTTTAAGTATTATAGATGTAAACGATGTAAACGATGTGAAACGTAATGGTTTCGATGCTAAAACGCGAGCTGACGGTCTCGTAGCCGCTGTAATCTTTCTTGAAAAAAGCTGTGTATTAGCGGTTGTCCAATAGCTTGCCACTGTTGCTCCACTGCTGCTATTTATTAATATCTTCAAATAAAACTATGTATTTAGATTTGCTTTATGTTTTACATTTTACGACATGCAGACGTGTTCCTTACCGAATAAACTGTCTGCACAATCCTCGGTCCTTGAAACGTGATATTTCGTCTTCAGCTGTTCAACTTCAGCACCCACCAGCTTCTGAATGCTTTTCGTCAGTCGATCGAAGCGCTCCATTTCGCGAAGCAGCAATTCATTTCTTTCTCCCAACTCTTTGATATCAGTCTCGTTTAAGACATTTTTCTGCATGATATTTACATGAAAACGATAACAAATTATGCTGTCGAAACATTTATGATTAAGATTCAAATATACATTTTATGAAATAGTTTTATTCGACTGCGGACCTCGGGCTCACGATACTATTTAATTATTATAAATATGTGACAAAACGATTCTTTGGAAGGATCGGTCTTCCACGATCTGACTATTCCACAATCTATGCATTAAATAAACTGTGGTAGGGCCACACAATAGTACCACGAACTCACAGAAGACCGGCGTGAAGTGGAAGTGTTATACTACTGCGCTTCGTCTCGTGGGTTTACCAAACTCCGCGGGGCCCACTTTAATAAAAGATGGCAACACATCTGCTACCCTATAGGTCTGTCAAATATCCATTGGTAGTGGTTATCACTTAATATCAGGTGAACTGCTAGCTCGTTTGTCACCTCACAAAAAGAAATGAAACTTTAATAGTGTAAACGGGACCATCATTCAATAAGGACAAGATGTTTTGGCAATTTATTTATGCCATAGTTTTAAACAGCGTTAAATTTTCTTATTAAATTCCTGGATAAACCCGGCAACGACATAAGGTGTTTAAATAAGAGTGCACTATTAAAAAAAATTAAACACATATGTAGAGCAAGCTAACATATTTCTATTACAATATAAACTAGACATCTTGCGATTAATTATGGAATAAAATATCGGACAAATAGCCACCGTGGCTCTGATGTAACAGGCCATAGTAATTTTCATGAAAATTTCCATAGCTATTTTACAAAGATTTGGCCAAATCTCACTGATGACGCATTGGATCTCAGCCTTGGAGCTCAGGAATTGTTTCTATTTTTTTTTTCGCATAAACTCAAGAAACTCAAAAAAGAAAAGTTTAATCGCATGATCTTGGTGGCAAGTTGACATCAGAATTTCGAGGCGCTCGTTGTTGATGCATTTCTTTCTCATGGATTGCTGGTGGAATGTCTGACGCCCGAATTCGGCAATTTAGTTTATTTACAAAACCATTCAAGGGTGAATCTTGAAATCGGGCGTATTCAGATAATGCCCCTGACAGATTTTTAGAAGTTTACCCTGTTATAGATGCGTTGACAACCTTTTGAAGATTGGGTTCCGGCTAACTCACTCAACAGACGAAACGCGAAAGTATTTTTTACACTTCCACTTCACACCGATCTTCTGTGAGGTCGTGGTACTTACCCGCACGAGCCTGCCCATCCGTGCAGCAGCGAAGCTACAGCGTGGCCCTACCACAGAATAATAATATCGAAAGGAAACCCCAAGGGAATAAATTTTCAGGGCTTTGAATTTTGTTTTTAGATATTATCAACTTGTAATAAGCTATCATTATATATATATATATCCCTTTGTAGATCAAACCTACTAAAAAAAACTATTTTTGATTACAAATTTTACACGTAACCATTAGTTTTTTCGTCCAGAAAATGTTAATTTAGTCTCTCAAGATTTACCCTCAGATGGAACTGTGCTTCATCGGTAAAGATGATTGAAAAATCGACACTCATTTCACTTTGCTCCATTATCCATTGAACGAATTATCGACATGTATGGTCTGCTGGTTTAAGCTCTTGGGTAAGCTGGATTTTGTACGGTTGAAGGTGGAAGGCTTTTGTAAAAATTAGCTGCGTAGTGGTTCATGAAATTTTAAGTTGTTGAGAAAGATGCCGAATAATTTTTTTCTTTTTCAGGTTTTCTTCGACACTCCCTCTTGCATCAGCTATGTTTTCAAGATGTCTTGTGTTGAAGTATGGAGACTTTCATAAATATCAGATCACTTTGAATTGTTGAAACAATAGGTGCACTATCTCAATCTAAAACTCCACGAACTTTGCGAGCATTCTCGGTGTAACTTTCACCATTTTTGTAATGGTGAAAGTTAATGGTAAGTTATACAAGTACAATGAAGCGTTGTTCTTTTATGAAGCACTCCGTTTTTAATAATCGGAACCATCATAGGTTACTCTTGTCAACTTTCAGAGTCGCGACTTGCTCAATAACTCAAAACTTACTCAATATTTAAATAGTGCATTCTCATTGAGAAGACATCCTATATAATAAAGAAAAAAACTAGAGGGAATGGACTTGTGAACAAATGTCAAGCCAATAATTTTAGTTTTTAGAATTTTGTGTACACAAATACGTAATTTATCTTTTTATGTATAATGGAGATAGAAAATTAAGTTAAAATTTTCTTAGCTATGAATAAAATAATGATTAAACAATTTATTAATTTTATATAGTGAAGTTTGAATAATAAGTGCGACTATGCCGCACCTAAGTTACTATATTGAAAATAACCCGGTGGAGTTGGAACTAAGAATGAAAGCTGAATTTAACCTTTTGCAAATAAAGCAACCTCGCTTTCGAATCTCTTATGATTCTAGCACTTTTTCTTGTATCATGGTGAATATCTTGCAATAATCGCATTAATGGATCCTCTGTTTCCATTGCCCTAGGGGAACCTAGTGAAAACAAAAGTTCATAACAAAATTTTGATTTACATTGCACATACAAAAAAGAAAGTTTGCTTCAAAAAGTCATTACACTGTTATATGTTAATATTATAGTTAAAGGGATCAAAATGTTTTTATGAATTGTAGCAACATTTAGCTTGATTTAGGGTACTGTAAAACCATTCAATGTTAACATAATTATGAACTACATAACAACTGTTTTTGGTGTATTGTGCCTGTTTTTTCGGGTTGTCATGAGTGTTGAAATCACTGTCTTGAATCAACCCGATGTACTGCAACAGGCTAAACACCCGAAATAGTTAAAAAAAGAAATAAATTAAGAAAAAGCGTTAACCCAAAAAGATTATTCTTTCAAAGTTTGAAAGATGTCGCTGTGGTCAAAAATCGCATAATCGTTAACTAATATTATAGCAAATTAACGTAGTCGTTATTGACAACGTTAATTTGCTATAATATTACTTAACGATAATACTAGAATTTATTAAAACGATAATACTTCAATTTATAATTAACGACAATATAATATTAGATATATTTATAATTAAAGATAATACTTCAATTACAAACAAAACACGGGAAATCTTTGTGTGGTAATTTAAAATAAAAGACTTTTTATTTTTAACGGCCACATGAATAACAAGCAAAATTTACATGGGTATAAGTTATTACAGGAAAGCAAGGATAATTAATTAAAATGGAGTGTATAAAACTAGTTAACTACAATGATGTTTAATACACTTTACATTATATAACAAATACAAGTGAATATGACAGATGATAATATAGAACGTATGATACGGAAAGAGATAGCAGTCTATAGAATTGCAATCTAATTACACCAATTAGTGTGAGTGTTTCGGTATTGCTAGTGTCATATCTACCTCGTATTAGTATACAGTGATTACGATTGTTTAACTATGTTTTTACGAATGCAAAGTATTAATATGTAGGATTCATTTTAAACGAAAATTTTATGAGTATGTCAATAGTTAGAACTTAATTTCAATTCAATCACAAATAATCGGCCATAATTTAATTTTTTTTAAATATTTTCTACTCACAATCCCTCGGTTTCTGTAAAAACGAAAAGTTTTGTGTGTGAGAATTTAGAAAAGATATATTTAATATAGTAGGTACCTATATTTATTTACCATAGTACTGAGTGGGAGTTGTTTAGTAATTTTACCTTTGGTATATTTGTTTGGTCACAACACTTCAAAATTTTATGTTGTTTATTGTTTTCTTGTAAGTTCTGTCTCAAAATCTCCGGGTTCTTCGGCTGGAGCAATGTCATGATGCATTTCCCAGCAGGTGCTTTCTGCATCGTTTCTAAATAATATTCCGTTGATGACTTATCGTCACCTTGCGCCGAATGCGTGTCTAGATGAAGTACTTCAGTGATCTTCGAATTCTCAGAAGTATTCTGTGAAAGCATTTAATTTTTTTCTCGGATAATTTAGCTAACAAGTTTAATAAGATATGAAAAATCCGATAATAAACTTAAGGCTTGCTGAAATTAATAGATTTTACACAAAAAAAAAAACAGTGCATCACTCACAATGTTACACTGAGAAGCAAAATTTATATATCTTGGTGACATACAGCACACCTTATATAATTCTTCCTCTCTGTTAGGTATTTTTTGGTAATTTGAATGTAAAAATTCCGGGGCACTCAGAGTTTTATCCAGCGAACTTAAGCTTCTTGGCGATTGATCCAATTGTGCAATAGGTCGAGATCTCTTAACATGAAGTTTAGATTTCTAAAAATTGAAATATTATGTAAACTAAAATAATGTTAATTTACTACTTTTATACGTTCAAAACAATTAACTGGACGGTGAGACAGCAAGATTTGAATTTGGACGGCTATAATTTACTGTTTGTATTCTGTAGCATATTTCATAATTATATAATATTAATTTCGTAAAGATGGCAACCCATGGGTCAACCGCTTGGATTCAGATGATGGTAAGTGCATATAACTACTGCCAACTTACAACGCCAGAGATTACTGATACGTGGCCCTGTAAAATTGGATTGCCTCCAAATTGTTGGACAAAAACATATAACTATAACATCGACTTCTTTAATATCCACAAATACTCAAAATACATACGTATTTTGTAGAAAATTTGTCCAATGCCATAGATCAGAAAAATTCATTATATAATACCAAAGAACTCCTCACAAAATCAGTACCGAATTTTTGACAACGTTATTTAAATTTTTTCGGATTGCAGAGCGAAAACATTCCAATTGTTGATAATATACACACGCGCACGTATTGTACAAATCCCGATTACCGTTTAGTCTTCCACAAGAATTTTAAAAAGTGCGAATCAGATGTCTCATGCAATATCTTTTAATGTTATGTTATACCTATAAAAGTTCTTTTCAATTTGTGTGATGCGCTTATTTATTTTTTCGTTATTGCGATACGCATACTACTCGAACTATTTTATCATTACAAAATAATTGAATTATACATTTCCTTTTAACGCTTACTTAA